GCTGTGGAGTCAGTAGAACATGCTCCAACCCAGCCAGCCAGTGAGCGGGTCAAACCACAGGGCAGGTGGCGCGGGAGATGCGATTTGTGGGAACAGGCCTGGAGCAGACGCCCTCCGCTCGATTTGCTGGGGAAATAAATCCCAACGCAGGGAATTAATTTCCGCCTGAAGTCGGGAAAGTCAGCTGATCGTCAGCAAAGTGGCAGCTGACCTTTCTCCCACTGGTGATAAAGAAGGATCAAAGGGAGGAAGGCAGAGAAACCATGAGAGCCCATAATGTGATTTCCCCCCAAGCGGTTGAGATCTTTGAAAGGTTCGGGTTACTTGGGGGAAATTAAATAAACCGTTATATTACACCGTTCTGCCTTTAGCCACCAAGGGTTCCCTATTGTGAAAATGCTTCCCAGCGAGGGCCTGTCTGAAATATCAATCTCCCAAGGTTGTAGGCGTCCCTACCGCGGACCCAGTAAGCCACAGTATGGGAAGTCATGTTTCCCGGGATGCTGCTTTTATTTTATTTTATTCATTTACTTATTTTTGTTTTGTTAATCCTCACCCGAGGTGATTTTTCCATTGATTTTTAGGGAGAGTGGAAGGGAGAGGGAGAGACAGAGAGAAACATTGATGTGAGAGAAACACATTGATTGGTTGCCTCCTGCACACGCCCCCACCAGGGCCCGGGCCGGGGAGGAGCCTGCAACCAAGGTACGTGCCCTTGACTAGAATCGAACCCCGGACCCTTTGGTCCGCAGGCTGACGCTCTATCCACTGAGCCAACCGGCTAGGGCTGGGATACTGCTTTTACATAAAAACCTACAGTGCCACTTTCTTTCATGATGCTGATCCTGAGAAACTAACATGAATGGATAGAATTTTTTATAACTGTTTTTATTGATTTCAGAGAGGAAGGGAGAGGGAGAGAGAGATAGAAACATCAACGATGAGAGAGAATCATTCATTGGCTGCCTCCTGCACACTCCCTACTGGGGATCAAGCAGGCAACCAAGGTACATGCCCTTGACTGGAATTGAACCCAGGACCCTTCAGTCTGCAGGCCGATGCTCTATCCACTGAGCCAAACCAACGAGGGCAATGGATAGAATTTAAAGAATCTGTCCCCCTTACAGAAAACTTCACAGAAATTTTTCAGCAGCAAAGGAACATCCGGAGGGGAAAATCAATTTTGAGAGCAGAGAAAAGTATAAAAAGACTGAGTTGTTGCTTCTAAAACCAATCTTCCCTCCACAGATTTGGTTTTAAAACCCTTCCGTTGGGCATCGCAGATCATATCACCCAGCGTAGACCACGTGGGAAGCTTACAACTGGGTGGACACTTGGTTCTGGATTTCTCTCCGGTCTGCAAGCCCGCTTCCGAGCTGTTGGATTCTTTGCCCTTTGAGTCCAAGTGACATTTGCCACCGCATCACACATTTCATTCCCAAAGAACCCTGTCCCCGTGCCTTTCATAAATGTGTTGTTTTTTTTTTCTCTTTTACAGAAGCTGCAAAGAATCGATACTGCTGACTGTCATCCAGCCTTACCCTGTAAGTGTCCTGCGCGTAACAGTGCCATCGCCTGGTCTCAGGCACCTGTGTGCCCCTCCCTGCGGTAAAACCACGATGAGAAATGACAGCAGAGAAAAAGTAGCGTGCATCCGCGGCACCGGTCACCAATCGGGAGTGTTTGTATGTTGTACTTCACGATAGCAAAGCTAGTCATTGGAGAGAAAAGAAAGTAGCGCCTTTTCTAAATACTGTATCTTACAAATCAACTGTCCAGTCCTATGTGACGCTCAGATCTGGAAATGGCACAAAACTCAAGACTTTCTTGAAGTTTCCAGCTTAAGTATCACAAGTCTAATGCGAATATCTCATAGTAGGGGGTTGAAGCATGATCATTTTTATTTTCTTTTATTTTTTAAAAATATATTTTTATAGATTTCAGAGAGGAAGGGAGAGGGAGAGAGAGAGAAACATCAATGATGAGAGAGAAACATCGATCAGCTGCCTCCTGCACACCCCCTACTGGGGATGTGCCCGCAACCAAGGTACATGCCCTTGACCGGAATCGAACCTGGGACCCTTCAGTCCGCAGGCTGACGCTCTGTCCACTGAGCCGAACTGGCTAGGGCAGTGCTCGGCAAACTGCGGCTCGCGAGCCACATGCAGCTCTTTGGCCCCTTGAGTGTGGCTCTTCCACAAAATACCCACTTCTGCGCATGGGCCACGAAGTTTCCATTGCTCTGTACGTACGCGCCCGCACGTGGTATTTTGTGGAAGAGCCACACTCAAGGGGCCAAAGAGCCGCATGTGGCTCGCGAGCCGCAGTTTGCCGACCACAGGGCTAGGGCCATGATCGTTTTTCTTACCCCCATCTAGATAATTTGGTAGAGAACTCTAGATAGTTCTGTGAGACCCGCTTTACAAGGTGGGTATTAGAGGTCATAGGGCCACCAAATTTCATTCCGCAGCCTTGGTCAGTTCCCATGATTTTGTTGTTGTTGTTACTCCTCACCCGAGGATATTTCTCCATTAATTTTTAGAGAGAGTGAAAGGGAGGAGAGACAGAGAGAAACATCGATGTGAGAGAGATACATCGATTGCTTGCCTCCCACACAAGCCCCTACCAGGGCCAGGGTTCGAGCCCACAACCACAACCGAGGTATGTGCCCTTGACTGGAATCTAACCTGTGAGCCTTCAGTCTGAGGACCGACGCTCTATCCACTGAGCCACACAGGCTAGGGCCCATGATTTTCTTTTAAACAACTTTATCATGGTGTAATTCACATATCATAAAAGTCACCCCTTTTACATGTACAATTCAAGGGTCTTTATGGAATTTACTGAAGTACGCGGCCTTCATCACAATCCAGCTGGAAAACATTCCTTTCACCCCAATGCATCCCCCTTCCCATTTGCAGTGAAGCCCTTCCCGCCCTCAATCCCAGGCCGCGGCTGATTTACTTTCTGCTTCTATAGAGTTGCCTTCGCTTGTGAATTTCACACGTTGTCAGTGGAACTATAAAATGCTGAGGCAAATTCCTTCAGAGATTTCTCAAAACATTTCCTGTCCGTACCTGTGTGTCCTTCGCAGGGAGTAGCAGCGATTCCCACCAGGTTACGCTTCTGTTTTCTGCCCCATAGAGCTGGAGTGTTCCTACATCAGTGAAAAGGCTCTGGTATCTGCCAGTCTCCACCTTATGACCAAACTCTTCATCTCCTCATCCCAGAATGTTCCTCCTAAGCCAGTGGTTCTCAATCTTCTGGCCCTTTAAATACAGCTCCTCGTGTTGTGACCCAACCATAAAATTATTTTCATTGCTACTTCATAACTGTGATGTTGCTACTGTTATGAATCATATCTGATATGCAGGATGGTCTTAGGCGACCCCTGTGAAAGGGTCGTTAGACCGCCAAAGGGGTCGCGACCCACAGGTCGAGAACCGCTGTCCTAAGCGCTATGTGCTAGGCATTTGGGGCAGCAAACAACATATACCCAAGATTCTAATCAGAGCACAAATAGAATTAGCCAAGACAATAAATTATGCCATGGAGGAGATCATATACATAAAAATCTCAGCCTCATACTATTACTTTTAGTTCTATCTCTTGAACATCACACTTACACACACACACACACACACACACACACCTTTTTAAAAATAGATATATTTTTATTGATTTCAGAAAGAAAGGGAGAGAGAGAGAGAAACATCAATGATGCGAGTGAATCATTGAGCGGCTGCCTTCTGCACGCCTCCTACTGGGGATCCAGCCCGCAACCCAGGCATGTGCCCTGACCAGGAATCGAACCGTGACCTCCTGGTTCATAGGTCGATGCTCAGCCACTGAGCCACACCAGCCGGGCCACACACCTTTTGATTTGAAAACAGGATGTACGAGAACCAAGATTTGAGATTTAGTTCCCAACACTATAATGGTGATGCTTATACTTGCTCAGAACTCTTGGCTTCCTCAGCTGAGTGAGGAGAAGGTTCGATCCCATTCAGGGGCCTACCTGCTCCATCTCCTGATTCCATGATGCCTTCCCAGAAAGGAGAGGTCGTCTGTGTGTTTAGATTATTTCCATGAACCAAAATGTCACTCACACTTACTTCAGTTCTATCCTCACTTCATTGCTTTGCAGTGGACAAATCCATGTCGGTGAAGCCAATGGAAATGTCCATAATAAGCAACTGATTGGCCCAATATAAGTTCCTGGGGGAACCTCGGGTTTGCATTGCCTTTCCTGAATTCTCTCTCTCCACTTTATCACCTACTAGAGGCCCAGTGCACGAAATTAGTGCATGGGTAGTGTCCCTAGCAGCTGCCGGCCAGGCCCTTCCTTTGTTCCGCGCCACCCTTTGGTGGTCAGCGCACATCACAGCAAGTGATCGAACTCCCGGTTAGTCGAACTCCCGAGGGGACACTTTGCATAATAGGCTTTTATACACTGAGTGGCTAGATTATTATGACCACCCCATCAGTACTTCATTGACACTTCCAAAAATACTGAATATTGAAAATTTCCTAAGCAAATACTCTCAAGGTTTTATTATTATTATTATTTGCATAACTAATTCACTTCATTGTACTGAGTGGTCAGTATGTATGTATATAATCTGACCTAGCAATGCAAGGTCAGAACCTGAGTCCAAACTAGGTTATTTTTGCCCCATGCAGTAGACTTAGAGAAAAAGAGGGGAGTGTTGCATTGAAGTTCAGGGTTGTGTCTTTTGGCCTTGCTTGCTCTGTTTGCCATTTGAGTCTGCATGACTTGTTATTCATAGGAATATCCATTGCCATCGGTGAGTCCTGGAACTGCCTTTTAACAGATGCTCTGGAATTTTCTAGACGTTCATGGAGCTCTCACTGTTGTGCTATGTTGAAAGTCAACGCTTAGCCACACCACTGAGGAGCAAGTGATGCATGTTCTTGCAGCCAACAGCTCTACCTCCGCTTCTCAGCGTCGCTCTTCCCCTCCCAGCTATTGTAGGAGAATTCTCATCTTTGCTTTCCTTTGACCAACCCCCCTTCCTGAACTGCCCACAACATACTCCACCCCACCACCTCCTCGGCCTGGTTGAATCCTTCGCGCCCTTCAAGTCTCAGCACACATTCTAAACGCTTCCTTAGCGTTTCTCAGTGTTGGCACTGTGGCCATTTGGGCTGGCGGATTCTCTGTTGAAGGGGGCTGCCTTGCGCATTGTAGGATGTTGACCAGCAGCCCTGGCCTCTACCCACTAGGTGGCAGTAGTAGGACCTCCTCCCCTATTGTGAGGACCCAAAATGACTCCAGACACTGCCAGATATTCGATGGGGAGCAAAATCTCCCCCATTGGGGACCACTGGCCAGCCTAAAGTTTGCCCTTACTGATCTAGTCCAAAGTGGCTCTTTCCTCTTTTGAGTTGTACGAGTGGAAATAATGTAGTTAAAACCCCCAAGTTACTTAAACAGATACATTACATGTAGAGAGGAGAGCAGATGAGAGAAGAAGACATTTCAACATTTTACTTATATTTTTGTGTTCAGATTTTTCTATAAGCAAATTGGTGTTTTTATTTTATTTTGGTTTGAGTTTTATTTCTCCCCAAACATTCTCTTGGCAATCGGGATTGACATACAGAAACAGATGACCCAGCAGACCAAAAGAACGCCCGTAAATGGGATTTTATTACAGACAATAAAAATTAGCATTTTTATTTCCTTGTAATTTGCTGGCCCGCATTTTTAATGTTGTGTTTCCTCTGCCTAATGAGGTCCAGTCTAGACAGCGAGCCGATGTTCACACCTTCTTGCCATTTTCCACCTGAGCTCAGGGCACCCCAACATCCAGTCACAGAAATCAGTCTCCAGGGAGGCCCAGGTCAGGGGGGCCTGGACGAAGATCGTAGGGTCCCCACAATTCTGTGAGAAGAAATCATTCTTAACAGGTTGCTGCCTTATATTTTAAATAATATGGAGGGCGCTCTGTCCACCATTTTTACTTTATTTCTTAGAGAAAAAAATTGTGCCAGTATAGAAAGAAACACAGAAGTAGCCAAATATGTGTCGGCGAACCTTTCCCCTAGCGACAACCAATAGGAACATTTTGTCCCTTTTCCTTCCAGTCTTGTTGTCCTGTGCCTTGTCAGCAATTGAGATCATATTGTATGTACAATTTTATTCTGCTTCTTTCACTTCGTATATCCGGCATTTTCCCATATCATCAAGAATTCTGCATAAGCATCGTATACATGCCTATAAAACCTATGTTGATTTACTTAACCAACTCCGTATCATAGAACCCTTCATAATGCCTTTAATGTTTTGCTATTATAAATAATTCTGCAAAGAACATCTTTGTGTATAAATCCTATTGGTATTTACTAGTAGTAGTATCTATGTATTTAGTATTATTATTATCCATAGCTAATAGTATTTCCTCAGTATGGAATTTTAGAAGGAGAATCTCTGCGTTACTCGTGAATTTTATTTGTTTGGTTCTGATGTGCTGTCTTCTTTCCTTGTATGTGACTATTTTTTGAAAAATATATAATTTTA